TCACGTGATGTGGTAAAAGGCCAATCACAGCGGCCTTTTACCACCTGATCAGCGGTGTCCAATGACACGCTGATCAGAGGGAAATGCAAGTGCCGGTTCTCGGCTGCACTTTCCTCACGCTGATGATCATGCCCTGATGATCGGTGCCCAGCAGTGCCACCCGCAAGTTCTGCCCAGCAGTGCGCCCACTAGCTCCGCCCACCTGTGCCCAGCAGATCACCCACCTGTGCCACTCTGCAATGTCACCCACCTGTGCCCACCCACCTGTGCCCACCCATCAGTGCTGCCCACCAGTCAGTGCCCAGCAGTGATGCCAGTCAGTGCCCAGCAGTGATGCCAGTCAGTGCCGTCAGTACCCATCATCAGTGCCGCCTATCAGTGCTGCATATTAGTGCCGCCTATCCGTGACACCTCATTAGTAGTACTGCCTATCCGTGCCCTTTAGTGCTGCCTATCAGTGCCCATCAGTGCCTCCTATCAGTGCCCATCAGTGCTGCCTCATCAACACACATCAGTGAAGGAGAAAAATTACCTGTTTGAAAAATTTTATAATAGAAACAAAGAAACTTTTTTTTTTTTTTTTTCCAAATTTTTGGCAATTTTTTATTTATAGCGCAAAAAGTAAAGCGCCCAGCGGCGATTAAATACCACCAAAAGAAAGCTCTATTTGTGAGAAAAAAATGATCAAAATTTCATATGGGTACAATGTTGCATGACCGCGCAATTGTCAAAGTGCGGCAGCGCTGAAAGCTGAAAATTGGCCTGGTAAATAAGGGGGTATAAGTGCCTGGTAGGCAAGTGGTTAAGGATTAGCACCTTTACGGAGCGGGTACCCGAATTTGACAGGTAGCTGCTCCCACTTCCGCTGCGATCGTCTAAGGCAGGGCTTGAAATTTTCACTTGCCTTCTCGCCAATGGCGAGTGGAAATTATGGTGGGGGAGAGTGTGTCCCCCAGGGCCGTCTTGCTGTGCGGGCTCAGAGCTCAGGCTGGATCTGTCATTGGCACTGGGAGCTCAATAGCTGAGCACAGTGAAAGCAAAGCAAGGAGTGTGTGCTGTGCTCTCTGCCTCCCCCTAGAGTGCAGTACCTGGATCTGTGAGTGAACAACGAAGTACTGCAACTTTTTATGGGGGGGTATGTATGTACGTGTGTGTATTTCTGTGTATGTACGTGTGTGTATTTCTGTGTATGTACATGTATCTGTTTGTATGCGTGTCTGTACATGCCTGTGGTACCTCCTGGGGGGGAACGGGTACCCAAATTTGACAGGTACCCGCTCCCACTTCTGCTGCGATCGGATAAAGAAGTCGTCGCTCTCCATGAAGTCTTGTGGGACACGTGACAGGTCCCAGAAGACGATGGGGCCATTCAGGAAGCGCAGCGCTTCTCGCGCTTGCGCAGTGGGCACAGCTTACGGCTTCACAGCCGGGTGCCCACACTGAACATGCCGGCCTCCTGGAATACAGGATGGCCGGTGAAGCGGGCTGTGGCGGGGGGGGGCAACGAGGGACAGGTAAGTAGCTTTTTTTTTTTTTTTAAAAGTCAGCAGGTACAGTTTTTGTAGCTGCTGACTTTTTTTTACAGATTGAGTGGAACTCCGCTTTAAATGTGTGCGCACCTGTGAAATGGCGACAAACTTCACTAATCTATATTTTCTATAGGTGGTGCTTCAAAAGCCCCTATAATTTTTTATTTCAGGTACTTATACAGCACCGTCCATTTACACAGCTCTTTACATATATATTGTACGTTCACATCAGTCCCCTCCCCCGAGGAGCGTACAATCTAAGGTCCCTAACTCACATTCATACATACACATACTAGGGACAATTTAGACAGAAGCCAATTAACCTACCAGAATGTCTTTGGAGCGTGGGAGGAAACCGGAGTACCCGGAGGAAACCCACGCAGGCACAGGGAGAACATGCAAACTCCATGCAGCAGGTGCTGTAGCTGGGATTTGAATGACCCGAGTACTGCCAGGTGGAAGTGCTAACCATTTAGCCGCTATAGGACATCCGTATAGCGTACGGAGGTCTGGTGCTAGAATTATTGCTCTCCGGCGTGCGCGGCGATATGTACCATGTGTATCGCAATCAATGTTTTCATGCGTAGGCGCACCCAACGTGTGCGTTTTTAGGTTCGTACTTGTATTTATGTGGGAATGGGGAGCCTCAAATGTTTTTGGGGGGGGTTATGTGCTTGGTTGTAACTTTTTTTTTTTTTTTTTGTATTGTGGGGGGATTTTTCTTTACTTGGCTTTTTTTTTCATCACACGGGGGACATAAAGTCCTCTATGTGATGATTTGGAGGTGACTGGTTCTCTTTAATGAGACATGCAAGTTCTGAAAGACCCCCAATGCAATACATTCCTCCCCAGCTATTCTAGGTGGGGAAAAGTGACAGCGGTGACCTGGAAGTGATGTCACACACGTCGTTTTCTGTGAACCAGGGGTAATACAGTGATCAGTGCTAAACAATGACACTACTAATGGCACTGGGCAGGAAGGGGTTAACATGTGGGGTGATCAAAGAGTTAACTGTGTGCTGGGAGTGTTTTACTAGGGAGACATGCTGCTGTGTGTGTCTTTGTTACTGCTGGCAGGAGCGAGACTTGTTTACGCACAGGTCTCTCCCCTGTCAGTGTTACTCGGCGATCGCCAGGTGCCTGCGGAGAATCTCCGTCCAGGACCCGGTGATTGACATCTGTAGCCGCCAATGGCGGCGCGGGCAGGGCAATGTGCGCACCCACTACCCGGAACTGCAAATCACGTGTGTGTATGTGTAATATAAATATATATATATATGAGTTTGCAAGCGCTGCCGCCCTGTAGCAGTATTTCTGCTATAAGGCGGCGGGCAACTGGTTGCCCCCTTTACGCCTAAGGGTAAAACAAATCTAAATGCCTAAGCACAATTTTGCAACGTTGACACGTGAAAGTAAAACCGTACATATCATCACAACTACTTTGTACATCCGGGTGAATTATTTCCAGGACAGCTTTCTTTTGGTGGTAAATGGTAATGGATATCTCCTGATTTTTTTTTTTTTTTTTTTTTTCTTTTTATCAAAGGAAAACTGGCCAAAAATAGTAAAAAAAAAAAATATATATTTTTTTTAAATTTAGTTTCTTGTTACTACCATAACCTACCACCAAAGAACAACTTAAAATAAATTCTCCAGCTCTTGACGATCGCAGCGATACCATATATGTGTGTTATTTGATGTTTGTACCCGGAGTACAGCCCAGAAACAATAGTGCGCATTTTATTTTTTTGTTTACCTAAAGCACATGGACACACACATAAAAATATATATATATATATATATTTTTTTTTTTTTTTATTAATCCTGACCTTGACCCAAACACTTACCCTGGCACAGAACTAGATCAAACCTTGATCTACGTATGTTTTCTTTTTTCTTTTTTTTTTTTTAATATGCATTTATCTTGTTTAAAAAAAAAAAAAAAAAAAAACATTTTTCCATTTATGCCAGGAGTTGGAGAGATACAATGTATCTCTCTCCTCTATTCATAGAGAGAGAAAAAAGGGGGGGCTAGGCTGTACGGTGATCACTGTGATAGCCAATCAGAGGCTATCACAGTAATCATGTGACCCAAAATCTGGAGTCCCGGGTTCCGATCGTTAGAACGGGACCCGGTGCTCTCAGTGACACTGCGGTCTTTGTGCTGGTAGCTCTGTTCTAACGATCAGGACCTGGGACTCCCGATTTTGGGTCACATGAACGCTGTGATAGCCTCCGATTGGCTATCATAGTGATCACTGTACAGCCCGGCCCCATTTTTTTTTTTTTTTTTTTTTTTAACTCTATGAATGGAGGAGAGAGATACATTGTCTCTCTCAACTCCTGGCATAGAGTGAATTTTTTTTTTTTTTTTTTTTTTTTCCGAACAAGATAAATAAATATATATTAAAAATAAAAGAAAAAAATACTTAGATCAAGGTTTGATGTTTGAATTTTTTTTTTTCTTTTTTTTTTTAACGAACAAGATAAATATATATTAACAATAAAAGAAAAAATACCTAGATCAAGGTTTGATGTAGTTCAGTGCCAGGGTAAGTGGGTCAAGGTCAGGATTTAAAAAAATAAAATAAAAAATTGGCGTCCGAGTGTTTTAGGTAAAAAAACAAAACAAAATGCGCACTATTGTTTCTGGGCTGTACTGCGGGTACAAACAACATACACATATATGGTATCGCTGCGATCGTCAAGAGCTGGAGAATTTATTTTAAGTTGTTCTTTGGTGGTAGGTTATGGTAGTAACTGTACTACCATAACCTACCACCAGAGGGGGAAAAAAAAGTTTGTGTAAAAACAAAAAAAAAAAATATTAAAAAATAAAATAAAGAAAAAATACCCAGATTAAGGTTTGATGTAGTTCAGTGCCAGGGTAAGTGGGTCAAGGTCAGGATTTAAAAATAAAAAAATAAAAAATTGGTGTCCGTGTGTTTTAGGTAAAAAAACAAAAAACAAAATGCGCACTATTGTTTCTGGGCTGTACTGCGGGTACAAACAACATACACATATATGGTATCGCTGCGATCGTCAAGAGCTGCAGAATTTATTTTAAGTTGTTCTTTGGAGGTAGGTTATGGTAGTAACTGTATCTCTCTAACTCCTGGCATAGAGGGGGAAAAAAAAGTTTGGTTTTTTTATTTGTTTTTTGTTTTTTTACACAAATAAATATTAAATAAAAAAGAAAAAATACCTAGATCAAGGTTTGATCTAGTTCAGTGCCAGGGTAAGTGTTTGGGTCAAAGGTCAACGTCAGTGCAGCCCCACAGAAAAAAGCCCAGTTCTGTGAGGCCGCATATTTGTGTGATGTCAGGGTTAATGCATGTTTAAAAAAAAAAAATTCAGATTATAGATGGGTGCTTGTACCTGTGTGTGTCAGTTGCTGCTACTGGTTAGTAAAATGCTACACGTGTCTCTTCTGCGGTGTTTTTATGACTTTTTTTCCGCTTAAATCTTCAGGGTAACAAGCCATGGATTTCCTTGCCACGTGGAAAGGGTATCCGTCTCACCATCGCTGAGGAGAGAGACAAAAGACTGGCAGCCAAGCAGACCAGCGGTTAACCTCAACCAACGTTCTCTACCTTTATTAAATAAAACTCTGTTGTGGAGATCTTTGTGTATGGACCGGTTTATACTGTATAGTGATGTGCCAAATTATCAGACAAAAATGGGGTCAAAAAAAAAAAAAATTAAAATAAAAAACAGCACTTTTTTTGAACAAAAAAAAAAATTAAAATAAAAAACAGCACTTTTTTGAACAAAAAAAAAATTAAAATAAAAAACAGCACTTTTTTGAACAAAAAAAAAGTGTTTTTTATTTTAATTTTTTTTTTTTGTTCAAAAAAGTGCTGTTTTTTATTTTAATTTTTTTTTGTTCAAAAAAGTGCTGTTTTTTATTTTAATTTTTTTTTTTTTTTTTGGTTCAAATAATAAGTTCACCTTTCATAACATGTTAAATGTTACACCCATATTCAGGATATAACATGTTATGAAAGGTCCGGCTCCCGCAAACACCCCCCCCCCCCCCCCATCCCGCCCCGCCCACTTTGATAGCTAGTGGGGGATCTTCTCCCGCTACCTGTCAAAATTTAAAAAAAAAAAAAACAAGCGCCACGTGGCTGCGTCATTCATTCGCAATATTCTGTGAATGAGAAAAACTAGAGTTGCAACATCCTTTGTGGCTATCGGCTTGCAGTGCTTAATGAACTAGCAGGGTGCTGTGGAGCACTATGGTAGTTCATTGATCCGTCCTGTCATTGATTATTATTATAATACAGGATTTATATAGCGCCAACAGTGCTTAGCGCTTTATAATATAACAGGAGACAATCCAGTTCAATACAAGAGGGATAGGAGGGCCCTGATCCTTGGAGCTTACAATCTAGGAGGGAGAGGCTAGTGGTACAAAAGGTAGTAACTGGGGGGATGGACTGGTAGGAGGAATAGAAGATTCCATTATTAGCTGAGGGCAGGATAGGCTTCCCTGAAGAGAGGTTTTCAGAGATCGCCTAAAAGTGGGCAGAGTAGGTGATAGTCTGATAAATTGGGGTAGAGAGTTCCAGAGGATGGGGGGGAAGCTCTGGAGAAGTCCTGGAGACGAGCATGGGAGGAGGAGACAAGGGAGCTAGAGAGCAGGAGGTCGTGAGAGGAGAGTATGGTTTGGGTGATATTTGGAGACAAGATCGGTGATGTAGATTGGGGCAGAGTTATAAATGGATTTATATGTTACTGTTTTGAATTTTATCTGTTGGGCAATGGGAAGCCAGTGGAGGGATTGGCAGAGAGGGGTGGAGGACACTGAGTGGAGGGATTGGCAGAGAGGGGTGGCGGCCAGTGGAGGGATTGGCAGAGAGGGGTGGAGGCCAGTGGAAGGATTGGCAGAGAGGAGTGGAGGGATTGGCAGAGGGGTGGAGGTTGGGGGGAGGACAGTCAGTGGAGGTATTGGCAGAGAGGGGTGGAGGACACTGCCAATCCCTCCACTGGCCTCCATTTAGAGAGGGATGGAGGACACTGCGTGGAGGCCAGCGGAGGGGATTGGCAGAGAGGGGTGGAGGGATTGGCAGAGAGGGGTGGAGGACACTGAGTGGAGGCCAGTGGAGGGATTGGCAGAGAGGGGTGGAGGACACTGAGTGGAGGTCAGTGGAGGGATTGGCAGAGAGGGGTGGAGGACACAATGGAGGCCAGTGGAGGGATTGGCAGAGAGGGATGGAGGCCAGTGGAAGGATTGGCAGAGAGGGGTGGAGGACACTGAATGGTGGCCAGTGGAGGGATTGGCAGAGAGGGATGGAGGGATTGGCAGAGAGGGGTGGAGGCCAGTGGAAGGATTGGCAGAGAGGAGTGGAGGCCAGTGGAGGGATTGGCAGAGAGGAGTGGAGGCCAGTGGAAGGATTGGCACAGAGGGGTGGAGGACACTCAGTGGAGGGATTGGCACAGAGGGGTGGAGGGATTGGCAGAGAGGGGTGGAGGACACTGAGTGGAGGCCAGTGGAGGGATGGAGGACACTGAATGGAGGCCAGTGGAGGGATTTGCAGAGAGGGGTGGAGGACAGTGAGTGGAGGCCAGTGGAGGACACTGAATGGAGGCCAGTGGAGGGATTTGCAGAGAGGGGTGGAGGACAGTGAGTGGAGGCCAGTGGAGGGGTGGGAGGACACTGAATGGAGGCCAGTGGAGGGATTTGCAGAGAGGGGTGGAGGACACTGAGTGGAAGCCAGTGGAGAGGGAGTGGCAGAGAGGGGTGGAGGACACTGAGTGGAGGCCAGTGGAGGGAGTGGCAGAGAGGGGTGGAGGACACTGAGTGGAGGCCAGTGGAGGGATTGGCAGAGAGGGGTGGAGGACACTGAGTGGAGGGATTGGCACAGAGGGGTGGAGGGATTGGCAGAGAGGGGTGGAGGACACTGAGTGGAGGCCAGTGGAGGGATGGAGGACACTGAATGGAGGCCAGTGGAGGGATTGGCAGAGATGGGTGGAGACCAGTGGAGGGATTGGCAGAGAGGGGTGGAGGACACTGAGTGGAGGCCAGTGGAGGGATTGTCAGAGAGGGGTGGAGGACACTGAGTGGAAGCCAGTGGAGGGAGTGGCAGAGAGGGGTGGCGGACACTGAGTGGAGACCAGTGGAGGGATTGGGCAGAGAGGGGTGGCAGATACAGAACAGTTAGTAAGGTGGATAAGTCTGGCAGCAGCATTCATGATAGACTGAAGAGGGGATAGCCTGCGATGAGGTGGGTCAATGAGGAGGGAGTTACAATAGACAAGGCGAGAGATATAACAAGGGAGGGGAATAAGTTGCTTAGTGGTTTCCAGGGTTAGGAACGGGCGTATCTTGGAGATGTTGGGGAGGTGAAGTCTACAAGATTTGGACAGTGATTGGATTTGGGGGTGAAAGGACAGATGGGAGTCTAGGATCACACCTAGTACCTGGCATGAGGGGAGGGACTGACTGATGATTGTGTTCTTGATCTTGATGGAGAAGTCAGGGGGGGGCATGAGCTGGGGGGAATACTAAAAGCTCAGTTTTGGAAAGGTTGAGTTTGAGGAAGTGGAGTGACATCCATGCCGATATGTCATGGGTCGAATTCCAAACAATTTTTCGTCCGAAAATCGAAACCGTTCACTCAGTAATCCGATGGCGCCATCAATGATTTTGAAAATCGACCGACCGAGTCATAAAGTTCACCCCATATAACACGCGAGACTTCTGTTCCTTCCAGGTCACGGCTCATGCGCATTTATCTTTTCAGAAAAAAACGATCGTATGATTTGACCATCGTTGAGTCAAAAATCGGTCATTTCATTTTTCACGAATTTTCCAACATGCCTGATCACCGAAAAGGGGAGGAACCACGAAAATCATCCGGTGCTATTGACCCACTAACAGAGAGAAAAATCAGCCGATTATGAAAAATCGGTCGAATTTCAACCCATGTATGGCCGGCCTTAGTGGAGGGGAGGGGGGACCAGGAATTGGACTCTCCAAGCCATGTCTGAGGGTTCTCTGGCTACTAGAGGTCTTCAAGAAAGTGAAGATCAGTTGTGGAAGAGTGAAGGTATCTTTCTTTACAGGGTAACCCTTTGTCGTTGTTCATAACTAGGGATGCACGGAAATTTCAGTGGCCAAAACTTCAGCCGAAAACACCCCTTTCGGCCGAAATGAAAAAAAAAGGGATTGATTCTGGTGCTGAAAAAAAAAAACCCCGCCCCTCGCCCGCTGCCGCCACCTTACCTGAGAAACCACAGAACGATCCCGGGGCTGGGCATAGAGATGAGTGAAGGAAAGATGGCCTCCACTCATCTCTATGCCCTTGGAGGAAATTGGAGTGATGTCACTTCCGGTTCTGGCCTTTTTTTTTTGGATCCAATGCTTTACATTGCAGAGGAGAGATGTGGGGTCTTATTGACCCCATATCTCTCCATAAAGAGGGGTCACTAATTGTCTCATTGACCCCGTATCTCTCCATAAAGAGGACCTGTCACTAATTATGTCTCACTGACCCCGTATCTCTCCATAAAGAGGACCTGTCACTACTAATTGTCTCATTGACCCCGTATCTCTCCATAAAGAGGACCTGTCACTAATTATGTCTCACTGACCCCGTATCTCTCCATAAAGAGGACCTGTCACTAATTATGTCTCACTGATCCTGTATCTCTCCATAAAGAGGGAACCTGTCACTAATTATGTCTCAGTGACCCCCGCATATCTCTCCATAAAGAGGACCTGTCACTAATTATGTCTCAGTGACCCCATATCTCTCCATAAAGAGGACCTGTCACTAATTATGTCTCACTGACCCCGTATCTCTCCATAAAGAGGACCTGTCACTAATTATGTCTCTCACTGACCCCCGTATCTCTCTCCATAAAGGGGACCTGTCACTAATTATGTCTCATTGACCCCGTATAATCTCATAAAGAGGAACCTGTCACTAATTATGTCTCATTGACCCCGTATCTCTCCATAAAGAGGGACCTGTCACTAATTATGTCTCACTGACCCCGTATCTCTCCATAAAGAGGACCTGTCACTAATTATGTCTCATGACCCCATATCTCTCCATAAAGAGGACCTGTCACTAATTATGTCTCACTGACCCCGTATCTCTCCATAAAAGAGGACCTGTCACTAATTATGTCTCATGACCCCGTATCTCTCCATAAAGAGGACCTGTCAGTAATTATGTCTCACTGACCCCGTATCTCTCCATAAAGAGGACCTGTCACTAATTATGTCTCACTGATCCCGTATATCTCTCCATAAAGAGGACCTGTCACTAATTATGTCTCACTGACCCCCGTATCTCTCCATAAAGAGGACCTGTCACTAATTATGTCTCACTGACCCCGTATCTCTCCATAAAGAGGACCTGTCACTAATTATGTCTCACTGACCCCGTATCTCTCTCCATAAAGAGGACCTGTCACTAATTGTCTTATTGACCCCCATATCTCTCCATAAAGAGGACCTGTCACTAATTATGTCTCATGACCCCGTATCTCTCCATAAAGAGGACCTGTCACTAATTATGTCTCACTGACCCCGTATCTCTCCATAAAGAGGACCTGTCACTAATTATGTCTCACTGACCCCGTATATCTCCATAAAGAGGACCTGTCACTAATTATGTCTCACTGACCCCGTATCTCTCCATAAAGAGGACCTGTCACTAATTATGTCTCACTGACCCCGTATCTCTCCATAAAGAGGACCTGTCACTAATTATGTCTCAGTGACCCCGTATCTCTCCATAAAGGGGACCTGTCACTAATTATGTCTCATTGACCCCACATCTCTCCATAAAGAGGACCTGTCACTAATTATGTCTCACTGACCCCCCATATCTCTCATAAAAAGGACCTGTCACTAATTATGTCTCACTTGACCCCGTATCTCTCCATAAAGAGGACCTGTCACTAATTATGTCTTATTGACCCCATATCTCTCCATAAAGAGGACCTGTCACTAATTATGTCTCACTGACCCCGTATCTCTCCATAAAGAGGACCTGTCACTAATTATGTCTTATTGGCCCCATATCTCTCCATAAAGAGGACCTGTCACTAATTATGTCTCACTGACCCCGTATCTCTCCATAAAGAGGACCTGTCACTAATTATGTCTCATTGACCCCCGTATCTCTCCCATAAAGAGGACCTGTCACTAATTATGTCTCACTGACCCCGTATATCTCCATAAAGAGGACCTGTCACTAATTATGTCTCACTGACCCCGTATCTCTCCATAAAGAGACCTGTCACTAATTATGTCTCACTGACCCCGTATCTCTCCAAAAAGGACCTGTCACTAATTATGTCTCACACTGACCCCGTATCTCTCCATAAAGAGGACCTGTCACTAATTATGTCTCACTGACCCCGTATCTCTCCATAAAGAGGACCTGTCACTAATTATGTCTCACTGACCCCGTATCTCTCCATAAAGAGGACCTGTCACTAATTATGTCTCACTGACCCCATCTCTCCATAAAGAGGACCTGTCACTAATTATGTCTCACTGATCCCGTATCTCTCCATAAAGGGGACCTGTCACTAATTATGTCTCACTGACCCCATATCTCTCCCATAAAGAGGACCTGTCACTAATTATGTCTCATTGACCCCATATCTCTCCATAAAGAGGACCTGTCACTAATTATGTCTCACTGACCCCGTATCTCTCCATAAAGAGGACCTGTCACTAATTGTCTTATTGACCCCAATCTCTCCATAAAGAGGACCTGTCACTAATTATGTCTCACTGACCCCGTATCTCTCCATAAAGAGGACCTGTCACTAATTATGTCTCACTGACCCCGTATCTCTCCATAAAGAGGACCTGTCAGTAATTATGTCTCACTGACCCCGTATATCTCCATAAAGAGGACCTTCCTGTCACTATTATGTCACTGACCCCGTATCTCTCCATAAAGAGGACCTGTCACTAATTATGTCTCACTGACCCCGTATCTCTCTCCATAAAGAGGACCTGTCAGTAATTATGTCTCACTGACCCCGTTATATCTCCCATAAAGAGGACCTGTCACTAATTATGTCTCACTGACCCCGTATCTCTCCATAAAGAGGACCTGTCACTAATTATGTCTCACTGACCCCGTATCTCTCCATAAAAAGGACCTGTCACTAATTATGTCTCAGTGACCCCGTATCTCTCCATAAAGGGGACCTGTCACTAATTATGTCTCATTGACCCCGTATCTCTCCATAAAGAGGACCTGTCACTAATTATGTCTCACTGACCCCCCATATCTCTCCATAAAAAGGACCTGTCACTAATTATGTCTCATTGACCCGTATCTCTCCATAAAGAGGACCTGTCACTAATTATGTCTTATTGGCCCCATATCTCTCCATAAAGAGGACCTGTCACTAATTATGTCTCACTGACCCCGTATCTCTCCATAAAGAGGACCTGTCACTAATTATGTCTTTATTGACCCCATATCTCTCATAAAGAGGACCTGTCACTAATTATGTCTCACTGGACCCCGTATCTCTCCATAATGGGGACCTGTCACTAATTATGTCTCATTGACCCCCATATCTCTCCATAAAGAGGACCTGTCACTAATTATGTCTCACTGACCCCATATATCTCCATAAAGAGGACCTGTCACTAATTATGTCTCACTGACCCCGTATCTCTCCATAAAGAGGACCTGTCACTAATTATGTCTCACTGACCCCCGTATCTCTCCATAAAGAGGACCTGTCACTAATTATGTCTCACTGACCCCGTATCTCTCCATAAAGAGGACCTGTCACTAATTATGTCTCACTGACCCCGTATCTCTCCATAAAGAGGACCTGTCACTAATTATGTCTCACTGACCCCGTATCTCTCCATAAAGAGGACCTGTCACTAATTATGTCTCACTGACCCCGTATCTCTCCATAAAGAGGACCTGTCACTAATTATGTCTCACTGACCCCGTATCTCTCCATAAAGAGGACCTGTCACTAATTATGTCTCACTGATCCCGTATCTCTCCATAAAGAGGACCTGTCACTAATTATGTCTCACTGACCCCAATATCTCTCCATAAAGAGGACCTGTCACTAATTGTCTCACTGACCCCATATCTCTCCATAAAGAGGACCTGTCACTAATTATGTTTCTCACTGACCCCGTATCT